TCCTCCTCCTCACCTTCTTTTAGTAATAGTATTATTATTAGTAGTATTATGTGTCGTATTCGTCTTCGTCTTATTCTTATTAGTATTATCCTTAGTATTCTTCTTCGTATTAGTATTAGTATTATTAATATGATTAATATCTTTATTAGTCTTAGTATTATTAGTATTATTATTCTTAGTAGTAGTATTATTAGTAGTATTAGTATTAGTATTATTATTAGTAGTATTATTATTAGTATTATTATTATTAGTATTGTCATTATTAGCATGACCATCATCATTATTATTGTTAATAGTATTAGTATTAGTATTAGTATTAGCATTAGTATTATTATTGTTATTATGCTTCGTCTTCGTATTATTACTCTTTTTAGTATTCTTATTATTAGTAGTATTAGTATTATTTGTCTTCTTATTATTCTTATTGTTCGTCGTATTCGTCTTCTTATGTTTCTTATCAACCTTATTAATATTAGTATTATTATTGTTATCGTTATTAGTATTATGATTAGTAGTATTACTAATAGTAGTATTAGTATTAATATGATTATTATTCGTGTTAGTAGTATTATTATTCGTCTTAGCAGTCGTCTTAGTATTCTTCGTCGTATTATTATTATTATGAGTACTCTTCGTATTAATAGTATTAGTACTATGCTTATTATATTATTAGTATTCGCATTATTAATAGTATTCGTCGTAGTCTTAGTCTTCGTATGATTCTCTTTAATATTATAATTATTATTATTGTTATTCGTGTTCGTAGTCTTCCTCTCCTTAGTAATATTCTTATTATTATTAGTAGTCGTCTTCTTAGTATTCGTCTTATTCGCATTCGCCTTATTAATATTATTATTAGTATTAGTATTATTCGTATGCTGTGTCTTCTTCTTCTTATTATTATTATTATTAGTCTTCGTATTATTCGTAGTATTACTATGTTTCGTCGTAGTCGTCTTCTGTTTCTTATTCTTAGTATTAGTCTTCTTCGTCTTCTTATTATTACTGTTATTGCTACTAGTTTTCTTGTTCTTCCTCCTCCTCCTCCTCCTCCTCCTCCTCCGCCTCTTCCTCCGCCTCCTCCTCCTCCTCCTCCTCCTCCTCCTCGTCTTCCTTCTCCTCCTCCTCCTCCTCCTCCTCCTCCTCCTCCTCCTCCTCCTCCTCCTCCTCCTCCTCCTCCCCTCCTCCTCCTCCTCCTCCTCCTCCTCCGCCTCCTCCCGCCTCTCCGCCTCCGCCTCCGCCTCCTCCTCCGCCTTCCCTCCTTCTCCTCATCCTCAGCATCACCAGCATCATCATCATCATCATCATCATCATCATCATCATCATCATCATCATCATCATCTCATCATCATCATCATCATCGTCATCGTCAACGTCACATCATCAATCCATCATCACATCATCATCATCATACATCATCATCATCTCAGCATCATCATCAGCTATCATCAGCAGCAGCAGCATCATCATCATCTCATCATCTCGCCATCGTCATCGTCGTCGCGTATCATTCGATCATCAATCTCAGCATCATCATCAGCATCATCATCAGTCATCATCATCATCATCGAGCTCAGCATCCATCTCATCAGTATCAATCATCATCAGCATCAGCATCACATCATCATCATCATCATCAGCATCATCATCATCATCATCATCATCATCATCATCATCATCATCATCATCATCATTCATCATCATCAACATCATCATCATTATCATCATCATCAGCATAATCAGCATCATCATCATCATCCTCATCCTCATCATCATCATCAGTATCGTCAGCATCATCATCATCATCTTCATCAACAGCATCAGCATCATCATCATCATCATCATCATCAGCAGCATCGGAATCATCAGTATCATCATCAGCAGCATCATCATCAGCAGCATCATCAGCATCATCATCATCAGTATCGTCAGCTTCATCAGCATCATCATCATCATCATCATCATCATCATCATCATCATCATCATCATCGTCAGCATCATCATCATCATCATCAGCATCATCAGCATCATCATCATCATCATCAGAATTATCATCATCAGCAGCAACATCATCAGCATCATCATCATCACCATCATCCATCATCATCTGCATCATCATCATCATCATCATCATCATCATCATCAGCATGATCATCATCATCATCATCGGCATCAGCATCAGCATCAGCATAATCACCATCATCACAACCACCACCACCATCAGCATCATCACCATCATCATCATCATCAGCAGCAGCATCATCATCAGCATCAACATCATCATCATCAGCATCATCATCACCAGCATCATCATCATCAGCATCATCATCACCATCATCATCATCAGCTGCATCATCATCATCATCATCAGCATCAACATCCTCATCAGCATCATCATCATCATCATTATCATCATCATCATAATCATCAGCAGCAGCATCATCATCGTCGTCATCAGCAACATCAGCATCAGCATCGTCATCATCATCGACATCATAAGCATAATCATCATCATCAGCAGCAGCATCATCAGCATCATCATCAGCAACATCATCAGCATCATCATCAGCATCAGAATCATCGTTATCATCATCAGCAGCATCATCATCATATTCATCATCAGCAGCATCATCATCTTCATCGCCATCATCAGCAGCATCATCATCACCAACATCACCATCGCCATCACCATCACCATCATCATCAGCAGCATCATCGTAATCATCATCATCATCAGCATCATCATCAGCAGCAGCATCATCAGCAGCATCATCCTCATCTTCTTTATCCTTCTCCTCATGCTCCTGTTCCTGCTCCTCCTCCTGGTCCTGCTCCTGCTCCTGCTCCTGCTCCTATACCTGATCATGTTCCTGCTCCTCCTCCTGGTCCTGCTCCTCCTCCCCCATCCTGCTCCTCCGCCTCCCCCTCCTCCTCCTCCTCCTCCTCCTCCTCCTCCTCCTCTTCCTTCCTCTCCTCCTCCTCCCTCCCCCCTCCTCCTCCTCCCTCATCCCTCCTCCCTCCTCCCTCCTCCCTCCTACCTCCTCCTCCTCGCCTCCTCCTCCCTCGCTCCTCCTCCTCCTCCTGCTCGCCTCTCCCCTCATCCTCCTCCTCCTCCTTCCTCCTCCTCCTCCCCCCCCTCCGCTCCTCCTCCTCCTCCTCCTCCTCCTCCTTCCTCCTTCCTCCTCCTCCTCCTCCCCTCCTTCCTCCTCCTCCTCCTCCTCCTCCTCCTCCTCCTCCGCCTCCTCCGCAAAAACATAACATAAAAAAACCTCCTCCTTCCTCCTCCTCCTCCCCCCTCCACCTCCCCCGAAAGAAAAACTCAACTCCATCCTCCCTCAGATCCCTCCTCCCATACACTCACACTCCTACACACATCCTCCCTCCTCCCTCCTCCCAGCCTCCCTCTCCTCCGCCCTCTCCTCCTCCCTCCTCCTCCCTCCCTCCTCCTCCTCCCTCCTCCCTCCTTCACTCCTCCCTCCGTCCCTCCTCCCTCCTCCCTCCCTCCCTCCTCCCTCCTCCCTCCTCCCTCCTCCCTCCTCCTCCGCGTCCTCCTCTCCTCCTCCTCCTCCTCCTCCTCCTCCTCCTCCTCCTCCTCCTCTACTCCCCCTCCTCCTCCACCTCCTGCTCCTCCTCCTCCTGCTCCTCTCCTCCTCCGCCTCCTCCTCCTCCTCTTCCTCCATCTCCTCCTCCTCCTCCTCCTCCTCCTCCTCCTCTCCTCCTCCTCCTCCTCCTCCTCCTCCTCCTGCTCCTCCTCGTCCTCCTCCCTCCTCCTCCTCCTCCTCTCCGTCCTCCTCCTCCTTTTCCTCCTCCTCCTCCTCCTCCTCCTCCTCCTCCTCCTCCTCCTCAGTCCCCAAATCAGAGCTTGCCTCTGTAGGGGTCCTAGCGGATTCATATGGTTAGGTCAAGTTTGCCGCCGAGTTTCGCCGCGCGCCCGGGTGCCCGGGTGCCGGGGGGTGCCCGGGTGCCCGGGGGTGCCCTATAGCCCTATACCCATTATAGCCCTATACCCCTATAGCCCTATAGCCCTATAGCCCTATAGCCCTGTAGCCCTACAGCTATATAGCTTTATAGCCCTATAGCCCTATAGCTCAATAGCCAGATAGCCCTATAGCCGTATAGCCCTATAGTTCTACAACCCTATACCCCGTATACCCTATAGCCCTATAGCCCTATAGCCCTATAGCACTGTAGCTCTACTACCCTATAGCCCAATAGCCCTATAGCCCATATAGCCCTTTTGCCCTACAGCCCTAAAACAGACTCTGATTGGCGTTTTCTCCAGTATCATCAGTCTTACTTTTTTATTCGTAGTAATATGGTTACTCGCCCGATTGATACTAGAATTCAACGTCGCATTGTGATTCGTATTATGTTTCGTCTCAGTATGAGTAGTAGTATGTGTATTATTCATGGTCTTCATGTTAGCATTCGTAATGTTGCTGTGAGTGTTACCCGTATTAGTCGTCACGTTCGTTTTCCTAGCATGAATAGTTTTCGTGTTCGTCTGAGTATTATTATGTGCCTAAGTATGTTAAAATTATCAGTAGCACATTCGCGTTAGTATGATACTTCAAAATATGTATCCTCCTCCTCCTCCTCCGCCTCCTCCTCCCCCTCCTTATCACATCCCGCCTTCTCATCCTCCAACTCGCCATCGACCCTTCTCCATCCTCCTCCTCCTCCTCCTCCACCTCCTCCTCCTCCTCCTCCTCCTCCTCCTCCTCCTCCTCCCCTCATCCTCATCCTCCTCCTTGTCCTCCTGATCCCATTCATGTGGCGGACCAAAACCGTACCGATACCGCTACTACCTGGACCTCTCCTGGGACACCTTCAGGCCAGAATACTAAAGAGCATCCAGCCGTAGCGACGAGGACTCTCCAGGAAGAGCAGCGGTACCGGTAGGTGCCGCGTCCTCCTCTGATCCTCCACATCCTCACCCTCCTGCGCAAATTGTTTTGATGCTACCCCCTCTGTCCGCATCGATTGGCGGGACGGGTGCGGACCTGACGGCCGCCGTTGACGTGGCCCTCCTGACGCCTGCCTCCTGGCCCCTCGACGCCGTCGGCGCAGATCTCCAGGGGGGGGGGACGAGGGAGGAGGGGGAGGACGTCCGTCGACTCGAGTCGAACTTGAGCCGAATGTGAGTCGAACTTGAGCCGAGCTGGGGTCGATCCAGAGTTGAACTACTGCCGAGTTCAAGTTAGAGAGGATGCGCGAGAGGACACGAGACGCTTCCGAGGGCGACACGGCTGCCAGACCAGGGCGCCCTCCTGCCCCAGGGCACCCCTGCCCCAGCACGCGAGACACGAGGGGCACCCTTCATCTGGAAGCGCCGACCCGGTACAGTCACACTCCACCGAAAAGCCGGACTCGAACAGGTCCGCCTGGTGGGCCCCCACGGAGGCCCCCACAACAAGCATGCAGCAGGCGGCGCACCCCGCGCGCGCCGTGCCTGCAGAGTGCGACTCGGCGCCCCCGCGCCGCGAGCGCGCGCCGGCGCGCGCGCCAGGCGCCGCCGGGCCCAGGCGGGCTCGAAGCTCTCGGAGCGGGGCAGGTCGAGGCAACGGCAGCGCAAAATTCGGTCCCGGGGGCCTCTCCCAGGAGGCCCCAGGAGGTTCCCAAAAGAGGCCCCACGAGGCCCGCAGGAGGTGCCCAGGAAGCGCGCAGAGGCCCCCCAGAGGCTCCCAAGAGGCCCCCATAAGAGGGCCCCGAGAAGCCCCAAAACTCCTCCCCAGAGGCCCCCCGAGAGCCTTCCGAAGAGACCCAAAGAAGCATCCCTGAGGACTCTAGCCCACGTCAGCATCGTCGTCGTCGCAGCCGCCGCCGCCGCCGCCGTTGTCGGCGTCGTCCCCCTTCAAGGTCGGCGGCATCAGCTGTAAGGCCTTCGCAATCGGTCCCCCGACCCGTCCTGGGATCCAAACACATCAGTTGTCCGAGCTGCGTCCAGCTGTGGCGACGAGGCGGCCCCCCACAGGCCACTTGCGATTGTCTCGGCTTGCCTTCCTCTGGACCACCGAGCCACGTGAACGGGGACTCTAATGCAGCAGGTACGTGTCGTGACGACTCCAGCGCTGGTTTCTGACACCGCGTAGAACGCTCAGCCTTGAACGATCGGTGGCTTCTCGATCGCCAGATCGTTACATATTGGCCGATTCTGGGCCACTGGCGGCGTTTAACCTTGAACGCCCGCGGCGGGGTCGCCGCCGCGTCGACACACCGTGAACCTGCCGTAAACGGGGTCTTCTGATAAGTCGGGCATGTCCCCCTACAAGCGGATCTGGGAAGGAAAACTAAAAATAAACCGAGCATGATCAAAAATAGCGAAAAATATTCGAAAAAACATCCCCTGATTATTTTCCTCAACCATCCTGTGGTCTTTCTCCTCCCGCTGCCTCCCTTCCTCCCCCATCCTGGCCTCTGCCTTCCGCATTTTTTCTCAGTCGGCACACCCCTCACGCGCTTCGTGGCCCCATAGGGAGCTCCAACTACGGTCCCAGCGGCGGAACTCGCATGCGGTTCCCGCACCCATTTGGGCACACCCCTCACAGGGAGCTCCACCTAAGGTCCCACTGGCAGAACTCGCATGCGGTCCCCGCACCCATTTTGGCACACCCCTCACACGCTGCGTGGCCCCTTAAGGTGGTCCACCTAAGGTCTCAACGGCGGAACTCGCAAGCGGTCCCCGCACCCATTTTGGCACACCCCTCACACGCTTCGTGGCCCCATACGGAGCCCCACCTGAGGTCCCAATGGCGGAACTCGCATGGCGGCCTCGGACCATTTCGGCATACCCCTCACATGTTTCGTGGCCCCATAGGGAGCTCCACGGTCCCACTGGCGGAATTCGCATGCGGTCCCCGCACCCATTTTGGCACACCCCTCACACGCTTCGTGGCCCCATACGGAGCCCCACCAAAGGTCCCCATCCCAAGGTCCCACTAGCGGAGCTCGCATGCGGTCCCCGCACCCAGTGTGGCACACCCCTCACACGTTTCGTGGCCCCAGAAGGAGCTCCACCTAAGGTCCCAGTAGCGGACCTCGCATGCGGTCCCCGCACCCATTTTGGTCCCTCTCACACGCTTCGTGGCCCCATAGGGAGCTCCACCTAAGGTCCGAGTGGCGAAACTCGCATGGCGGCCTCGGGCCATTTCGGCACACCCCTCACACGCTTCGTGGCCCCATAGGGAGCTCCACCTAAGGTCCCAGTGGCGGAACCCGCATGGCGGCCTCGGGCCATTTCGGCATACCCCTCACACGCTTCGTGGCCCCATAGGGGCGCCGTCCTCGTCGTCGTCGGCGCCCGCGAAGACGGCCGCGACGAACGTGTCCCTGAGCATGTCGGGCTCCGGCGGGAAGCCGTGGCCACATAGGGAGCGTGGGCGAAGATGGTATTCACAATTGCGGTATTCACAACTGCGTATGACTGGGTCTTTCGCCAGGCTAAGTTTAACTATTTCGAAAAGATCCCTCTGTAGAGGGGCAGGCCCGCCTCAAGTCTTCTGATACACGAAGACACTGGCGCGCACGAGAAAACCGTAGGCCGTGGGCCTCGGAGGCGAACCGCGGACCACTGCCACAGAGAACCCATCGAGGGGGGGGGGGGGGGGCAACGCCTCTGGCGTGCCGTCGCTCTGACGTCCACTCCCCGTGCGTGCTGTATTGGTCCTATGGTCCAGGATGCTTCTCTTAGGTCGGGCGTGTCCCCCTACCAGCGGACCTTGGACGAAAAATAACGAACACTCAGAAAATGCTCACAAACAGATTCAGAGAGAGTCCCAAAATGGTCTCCCGACTATTGCGTGACCATGTTCGAAAACTCCTCCCGTAGAGGGACGGGCCCCACTTGATGCCTCTCGGTGGTCCTCGCCGAGGAAAGAACTGCACACGTCGGAGGTGCTGCCAGGCCTGGGCGGCAGCTCTCGCCCGAGCGCCGTCTCCTGCGCTGGGCGGCGCTCGGGCGCGCGGTGCCTCCGCCCCGGGGGCCCGCCTCACCCCCGACGGGCTCTTAGTGGCGATGGCCCATGCTTCTCCTCTCAGTGTCAAAGCATCTTGGACCAGAAAACAAACAACACCACTCCACCTACGGCCCCACGGGGGTTGGCGTGCGGCAGGTTCGTGTCGTGCCGGCTTCGACGTTGGTTTCTGACACCGCGGGGATCGTTCAACCTTGAACGATCGGCCTTTGCCGAGTCGTAAGATCGTTCAGCATTGACCGATTCTGGGTCGCCAGCGGCGTTCAACGTTGAACGCCGGCCGCGGGGTCGCCGCCGGTCGGCACGACGCGAACCTCCCGTATACCAGGCGATCTGGCGTGAGCTCTTGCGTGGTATACGCTACGACCCCCGACGGGCCGTAGCGCCAACATGGAGGACCAGAGGTGGGGTGGTGGCGTTGGCTTTCTGGTCAACCTGGTGGCGAGGGTCCATGCTTCTCCTCTGAGGGTCGACATACTCTCCACTCCCCATCCCCCTGGGCCCGGCAGAGTCCTGGCTTGCAAGCTCCTGGCTTGGCCTGCTTCTGGGGGCTCAAGGATCGCGGAGCCAGATCGGACTGGAAGAGCGAATCGGGCCGCGCCCGCATCAAGCGTGGAGTCGGATCGGGATCGGATCGTTCGGGATGGGGGTCGGTTAGGGGTCCCAACACCGTGTGGTGACAGACCCGGCGGTGACCTCGAAATCCGCAAGGACCGCACCTCAGGGTCCGTCACCACACGGTTTTGGGACCTCGGAGGCCCCAGTCGCCCGAGACATCCTCGGAAAACGACTCAAGTCCCAAAACCGTGCGGTGACCCCGAATCCCCACCGACTCACCGCACGGTGTGGTCACCACCCCGTTTTGGGGCCCCCGAATCGGGCTCAGCCCATGCAGGCCGGAGAGGGAGTCGGTCCGTGTCGGATCAGATCGGATCGGATCGAGCCTGGAATCTCGAAGATCTTGGGCATCGGGTCAAACCGCATCGGGCCGTGAGCAGCCTCGGCATGCTGGACACGGCAGGCTCATGTGGTTACGACTGCGGCGTAGGTTTAGGTCGGGCATGTCCTCCTACAGGCCGGTTTTGGACGAAGAATTTACAACATACTCTACAAATACTCAAAAATAATACAATAAATCGTCTCCTGACCATTTCTTGCCGTGTTTGCATCTCTTTCCTGTGGAGGGACATGCCCGACTGAAGCCTAGGTTTTTGATACCGCGTGGACCGCTCAACCTTGAAGGATCGCAGGTTGTCCTGATTCAGTCGGGCCGCTGAAAGAAGGAACGCTAAATAAGGAATGAAGCCCCTTCTTGGCCCTGTAAGCGCCTCCGTGCCCCAGGAGGGCAAGAGGAACAGCACTGGAGGAACCTAAGGAACATCGAGCCCCCTCCGAACCCAAACTGTTCCTTATCTCAGCGTCTTGACTGATAGCGCCGATCGCTCAAACGTCCGCCAATTACGAGCCACCCGCGATGCTCAACCCGGAACGCCCGCGCTGGGGTCGCCGCCACGTCGGCGCGGCGCGGACCTCCCGTACCCCCCTTGGGGGGGCGCACACGTGCCAAAAGCACGCGTGCCGAACGCATGCTGGATACCCCCTCCGCGCACGAATTGTTGCGCGTGAGCTGTTGGATACCCCCCTGGCGCCCGCGCTCGCGAAACACGTGCCGAATGCATACGTGCCAGAAGCGTGTTCGACACACACACACACACACACACACACACACCTCTGCGTA